TGTCACATCGTTTTACAGGTAAACAAAACAAATTGCTCAATCTGTTGAATCTTGACAAAGGGACTAGCCAGTCTTGATCCGTTGTGACACGTTTAATATGTAAATTGTCTGTTTATAAAGTAAAACTTTGAGATCCATATTTCCAAACTGATGGATACATTTTCTTTGGAGAGGTAATGACATAAATATATCTATCTGAGGCAGAAATGGCCAACTTCTACAGACTGCACATTCACATCATCATATAACCCAAGCCTGTTGAAGTTATTGTAGATCAGACTGGAGGTATATCACCATAGTAATATAAGAACTGTATTCCATTTTGATATATGACAATCATAATATTGATAAGGAGACAGCAAGATATAAACCACAACTTGATTATGGACAATATAGCGATCCGCAATCTTTTATCTATAACCCGACACATCAAAAGCTATACCCAATTGATTTAAGTTCTTAGGAGGTGATCGAGACAGCCATCAAAACTACACTGTCTAGAATTTTAAACTCTCACCTTTCGTTATCAATCTTGATGTGTTGTGTAATATGCTAATATCATCATAAATTTACAGCATGAAATGTTCATCGTCTATGTCTACATACCAAGTTACTATGCATATCCTAGATCATATATCCCTGTACATACATGTAGGTATCTAGCTGTCTCAGGTATATGTAAACATATCAGAAATATGAAGAATATGCAAGGTGGATCACTCAGGTATTTCTTGATTTTTTAATCAATTTCTCATTTGTGGGTTTCCCCACTTAAAAGCTTATTTTTAGCAATAGTAAATATATAAATACTTATTAACAGTATAATTAAATTTTGTCTCCAAGCAAAGTTCACCAGTCAAACCCAAATATTGGCCTGATTTGTTCAATATAAGGTTTGTGAAAAGGAAGTTTGGTTTTATTTTGTTTAATACCCTATCAACAGCTAATTATGGAACACAGAGTGTGTAGGCAAGGTATGTTTTCAAATTGATAGGTCAGTAATAGGATTAAGTATTACATGTACTACAGATTTTTGAATTATCAACGTTTCAACAACTAGAACTGCAAGCCAAAGGCTAACTAATATAATACCCCCACTCCTATATAAACCAGAACTATACGCTAAATGCTTACTTATGCAAATCAATATAGTCTCCCACCAGTAATGAGTTATGGTAATCACTATTTTATTAAAAACAAAAAAACAAAAATAACAAAAAAATAAACAAGTATTTTGCACAAAGGGGCATAACTCCATCAAAAAGGGTCGAAATCCCAAATTAAAATGCTGGTCACACAACTACATAAGATACTGTTCATTTATGCAAAGTTTCAATGAAATCCACCTGTTAATTAAGGACTTTTCCAGACAAGTTACTACGGACGACAGACATCCAGACAGGGTGGTTCCAGTATACCCCCTTAACTTCGTTGCGGGGGTATAATAATATTTTGAATCACAGCAATAATTGACTAAATCCAGAATAGAGTTATTCCATACAAGCTTCTGAATAACATCAAATAGCACGAAGACAAAGCATGAATTATAATTTGTTCCAATTAATGGTATCAACTAATTAACAAGAAGTACACAGCAATGTACTGGTATTCACGGATGACAGACCAGCAGCACTATAGCACTGTAATCAATGGCAAGTGTAACAGAACTGTTAACATACCATGTACCGTGGTTTTTTCACTGTAATCAATGACAAGTGTAACAGAACTGTTAACATACCATGTACCGTGGTTTTTTCACTGTAATCAATGACAAGTGTAACAGAACTGTTAACATACCATGTACCGTGGTTTTTTCACTGTAATCAATGACAAGTGTAACAGAACTGTTAACATACCATGTACCGTGGTTTTTTCACTGTAATCAATGACAAGTGTAACAGAACTGTTAACATACCATGTACCGTGGTTTTTTCACTGTAATCAATGACAAGTGTAACAGAACTGTTAACATACCATGTACCGTGGTTTTTTCACTGTAATCAATGACAAGTGTAACAGAACTGTTAACATACCATGTACCGTGGTTTTTTCACTGTAATCAATGACAAGTGTAACAGAACTGTTAACATACCATGTACCGTGGTTTTTTCACTGTAATCAATGACAAGTGTAACAGAACTGTTAACATACCATGTACCGTGGTTTTTTCACTGTAATCAATGACAAGTGTAACAGAACTGTTAACATACCATGTACCGTGGTTTTTTCACTGTAATCAATGACAAGTGTAACAGAACTGTTAACATACCATGTACCGTGGTTTTTTCACTGTAATCAATGACAAGTGTAACAGAACTGTTAACATACCATGTACCGTGGTTTTTTCACTGTAATCAATGACAAGTGTAACAGAACTGTTAACATACCATGTACCGTGGTTTTTTCACTGTAATCAATGACAAGTGTAACAGAACTGTTAACATACCATGTACCGTGGTTTTTTCACTGTAATCAATGACAAGTGTAACAGAACTGTTAACATACCATGTACCGTGGTTTTTTCACTGTAATCAATGACAAGTGTAACAGAACTGTTAACATACCATGTACCGTGGTTTTTTCACTGTAATCAATGACAAGTGTAACAGAACTGTTAACATACCATGTACCGTGGTTTTTTCACTGTAATCAATGACAAGTGTAACAGAACTGTTAACATACCATGTACCGTGGTTTTTTCACTGTAATCAATGACAAGTGTAACAGAACTGTTAACATACCATGTACCGTGGTTTTTTCATGGAATTCTTAGTATTTGTCCAACATTTAATGCACAAGTTTTCCCAGTTCCATGGACTCTGAACCCAGTTAGCATTGGTTGGAAAAAGAAAAAATGCACAAAGATATCTTAAACTACAACAGAGAAGTGCTTTTTGACAATGGATCCTGGTACAGCCTCTTGAGACAGCCTTTTTAGTTGATACACAACAAGTTTAGCACAGGGTACTTACATTACTACAAAGGGAAAGCTTTTATTTATACGTTAAGGGTCAACAAGTCCCTTGCAAGATGGTACATATCCAACTCCCTCATAAGTAATATTCAAAGACGATGAAAAGTTGAAACTTATTATGTATGCAATGTAAATAAAATGAACTTGTACATTAATTGTTAAAATTGACACATAGCTAGCTTTACAAATTTTAAAGTCAATAATATGGCACTCATGGGCTACCTGGTTATGTCTTTGTAAAAATAGTTGACCAGATGTAAAACATATCAATCTCTTTCGCAGCCTAACTGAATACTAAGAAATGACACATTATTAAACATTCATTTCTATACCTAGGTCATGCTGAGCTAATTAATTCCTCTTCTTAAAGTTATTGAGAGGCATACTGGGATCAAATGAAGATAGATGTTGCCATGTGAAACCACTAAAATCATAGTGAAATTCCCTGGCTAGGTAGCCCAGATCAACACATGAACTTTAGATGATGTGCTATTTCAGAACATTCTGTGATGTTACATGTACAGTATGTATAGCCAAGGTATAAACGTTGAAACTGAAGTGTTATATAACGTTATAACTTGTCTCACTTTTTTATTACAATAACACTAAATGCTACGAAAGCTAGTACACTTTTATATGAAGTTTATGTATTCATGACCTAGCCAGGTATATTGATGAACTTCAAATAATACATCATTTCATAGCATTCAGTCGGGTCACAAAAATGATTGACATGTTATTAGTTGGATGAACTATTTTTATGCAGACATCAGATTAAGTGCCCTATTATTTTCCACATTAACCTTGCTAAGCACCATTATAATAGCTAAATTTTATAATGCACAAGTTCAGTATATTCAAATTACGAATTTATGAAATATAGTTGGGACCCTTGGAATACTGCATGTGTCAGGAGGTTGACATTTTCTGTGACTATACTAGCCTCTTTAGTAAGCTTGTTGAACCTTAAAGTGTATATATAGAGAATAATACATGCCTTTTTCCATATCACACCCAGTATCAACCAGAGACTGCAATATCAGCCCAAGGGCCGAAGGCTGATATAGGTCAAGGGTTGATACTGTGATATGGAAAAAGGTGTGTTTTATTCTGTTTATTACATACTTACTAATAAAAACTACTTTCTTATGTTTTATTTTTATTTTTGAAATATTGAAAAACGATTTTTTTCCAAAAGGGGTGATACGGCGGGGGCTGATACGGGTTTTGGGGGGTGATATGGCGAGGGCTGATATGGGTTAGAGCAATTGTGTCGTATCGCAAATACAAAAAACCTGTATTTATTGGTAAGTATGTAATAAACATGTATAATAGTGTTCCTATTTCTAAAACTGCTATCTCACAACTGCTTTACTATACACAGTAAACGGTTTAATAACAAATCGTATTTACTTTTGTTCCTTGTTTTTTTTTGCCTGTACAGTACGCCATGTGATGTCGCAACAGTAAACGTGTATCACTGTGGATATGTTTGTATGGAATGTTATGAATTTCCAATATATACATGATGATCTTGCCAACAGATATCAGAAACAGCTGACTGTACGTTCGAAATCGGTGTGTTGAATCAACGACAATGTGCGTACCTGCATTCTCCCAACTTCCCTTCCTCTAAGCAATTTAAAAACATTCCGCCCCTTGACATAAAATATAAAGAAGTAGGGTTACTGCACAGTGAGTAATGTGGGCCTCGGGATAGCCGGAGGGTGTGTCCACTTCACGTGAATTATGGTCAGGTAACTCTGCTGGACAACAAACACATAGGACTTCATATCTTTGAACTTTCCGTCTGTTTCAGGTTTTGACAGATAACAAGAAAGTGACACAATTTGCATGGCAAGGAACTCATATGTGATATTTAGACACCTCTGCCACTTATCAAATTACATGCATAATTTGAAATCTTTCCCATATTTGATAGTTTACGGGGGACACCCATAACTCATCACACACCTACATATCGTCAGATGATATTTGTTTTGCGGTCTCCAGACACGATACAAACCTTTGTTGGCCTATTGGCTTATTAAATCTGTGTCAAATCCTTTCTCTGGGATCATCCTGGCTTCATTGAAGCCCTATGTCATCACAAAACATTCGATATCCACACCCGGAAGAGAGGAACAGTGAATCTTAGCAGGAAACACATATGCCTGATACCAAGATGGCGTATCAGGTCTGGCTGTCAGGTCACGAAAATTGACCAATTACAAATCCTTATTTCCGCGAAGGAAATTACTCATCTGTATCATTTGAACGTTTTGTTGATAGAAAATACGCACTTAAAATCATATTTCTAACTTGTTTTTGAAGTTTAAACAACTTTTCCAGTCACCCAAATGGATAAATACTGACGCAGCAAATACATTCATTAATATCAGTTCCACAATACAAAAGGAAAATAAGGTGTGCGATATCTAAGCTTTCCCCTCATAGAGATCACTTCCGGGTTATGGCGAAATTATATTTTCGCGGGATATATGAAGAATGATGTTGCTTTCGTGCAACACTTTTCTCTCGTAGTAACCAATGAACTACATTACTCGTTTGTGGTTAATTCGTGCCAATAAATCCACAGTATATTCCTAAAATATACTATACACATCTCATGTGGACTTGGACCTAGGACCAGTATATATAGATCTATATATGTAGCCTTGGATGTTCCCTAAAGCTAGCTAAGGCAGTTCATATACATTTTTTCTATTTAAACATGTTTTATTGCCTTTAAAGCTACAGGATTGAGCACAAGTTGTACAACTTGTTTAAAGCCCTTTCCCTAAAATAAAACATCTGTATATATTTACAAAATCCAATGATACACAACCATTTGTACATATCTTATGAAAGAGAGAGAGATTTTTTAAATATGTATTTTTTCATAATGTGGACAATCTTTTCCGACACTGACGGCAGAAGTTGACACTATACACTTTCCTAAACATTCTACTTGTACTATTGTCCATCACTCCCGTGTCTTGGTTTGCCTCCTCCTTGTCATTCCGTTCGTCCTTGATTATCCGTTTCTCTTGTGCCGTCAACGTCGGAAAAGATCGGTACGAAAACATTTAAACTTAAAACAACCTGATTTTTAACTATAACAGAGAGAGATAGAAAGAAGGGAAGGGAGCGGGGTGGGTTAAAATCTGTTAGAATCATGAATATCAAGTGTTGCTGAGTATGCACGAAAATTAATTCATTTTCCTGCTCAGATAAATTTGTATCTCCAAAAAGGAGTAGATTAACGGTCAGTGGAATATATATGCATTAAGTTCACGGAAGAGGGTTATTCTTTGTTCAGCATAAGTATTGCAGTTAAAAAGGAAATGATAGGTATCTTCATTAGGATAGCCACAGTGACAAGTTTGATCAGCGACAAGATTAGATCTAAATAAGTGTTTTCCTAATGTACTAGCTTGATTTCTTAATCTTATATGTAAGATATTATTTTTGCTTTCACCATAGAAATAAAAGTTACGAACCTGGGGTAAATCTGTGTTACATTGTACGGAGGGAATTTTTAAAAGCTGAAAATGATACACCGTGTCTGATATCTAAGGGTAATTGATATATAATTCTTTATAAATTGCAATACAGGTGTATTTTACTTTTCACATCTTGTTTTTAATTGTTTGAAAATAGTTTTTCAAAATTTGTATGAACCACCGAATTAATTTTACACTTCATTTGTTTCAAAGTTTGTTTTTTACTACACAGGTACTAGCCTCGTTTGTCAATACACCTATAAGATTATATCATAGTGTGTTGACGTACAAGGCTAGTACCTGCGCTATATGTATTTGAGAGAATGTGGTTGAAATTACTATTATTTATTAAACTAGCTCCAGATATGTGTTAACGAGTGGTAACATTGTTGAAACGCTTTATTCACTCTGCGTGCATCTTTTACACGCGGATCTGTATTTATATGCGTGATCCTTTGACAGAAATGCGATCTTCTGTGGGTCTTATTTTAACATCTTATTGCGCCATTTCTTATCCAGTCTATTGCCCATACTGATCATGAAATTCAAACACATGTATACCTCCCAGGTATTTGCACCGGCAATAACAACTCAGTCGGATGACTGAAGGGTGTGGGGAATATTCAAAGCTTAAATTAGGTTAGCGTAAAACATTAGAACAGTTATTTAAATATTAATTAAAATAAGGTTTGATCTAGAATTGCTTTAATACATTTTTTTCATGATCGATCACTTAATATCAACGCATATCATTCCACGATTTTTGAAAAAGTCATATTTTGAACAGGCGAGTCCTCATCTTGCCAAATTACGAGTTTTGAAAAAGCTCTTATTTTTGGTTATGGAATGTGTCTACTAGAGTACTATACAGAGTATATGGTATACATAACCACGGAGTGGGATCGCTATCTAATTCCTGTTGGTATAACTGCCTATAACTGCAGCTATATATGTCTCTATTCTGAGGTAAAATAATTATATATTTTATGTAATCAGTGTGCATAGCCCTAGCTCGAGGTCCTAAGGGGGAGGGGGATATGTTGACAGTGTGTACAAGGTTCTAAGGGGGAGGGGGATATGTTGACAGTGTGTATAAGGTCCTAATGGGGAGGGAGATATGTTGACAGTGTGTACAAGGTCCTAATGGGGAGGGGATATGTTGACAGTGTGTACAAGGTCCTAAGGGGGAGGGGATATGTTGACAGTGTGTACAAGGTCCTAAAGGGGAGGGGGATATGTTGACAGCGTGTACAAGGTCCTAAGGGGGAGGGGGATATGTTGAATATGTTGACAATGTGTACAAGGTCCTAAGGGGGGGGGGGATATGCGGACAGTGGGTACAAGGTCCTAAGGGGGGGGGGGATATGTTGACAGTGTGTACAAGGTTCTAAGGGGGAGGGGTATATGTTGACAGTGTGTACAAGGTCCTAAGGGGGCGGGGGAGGGGGATATGTTGACAATGTGTACAAGGTCCTAAGGGGGGGGGGGATATGCGGACAGTGGGTACAAGGTCCTAAGGGGGGGGGGGATATGTTGACAGTGTGTACAAGGTCCTAAAGGGGAGGGGGTTATGTTGACAGTGTGTACAAGGTCCTAAAGGGGGGGGGGATATGTTGACAGTGTGTACAAGGTTCTAAGGGGGAGGGGAATATGCTGACAGTGTGTACAAGGTCCTAAGGGGGAGGGGATATGTTGACAGTGTGTCCAAGGTCCTAAGGGGGAGGGGGAGGGGGATATGTTGACAATGTGTACAAGGTCCTAAGGGGGATAGGGATATGTTGACAGTGTGTACAAGTCCTAAAGGGGAGGGGGATATGTTGACAGTGTGTACAAGGTTCTAAGGGGGAGGGGAATATGCTGACAGTGTGTACAAGGTCCTAAGGGGGAGGGGAATATGTTGACAGTGTGTCCAAGGTCCTAAGGGGGAGGGGGAGGGGGATATGTTGACAATGTGTACAAGGTCCTAAGGAGGAGGGGGATATGTTGACAATGTGTACAAGGTCCTAAGGGGGGGGGGGATATGTTGACAGTGTGTACAAGGTCCTAGGGGGGAGGGGGATATGTTGACAGTGTGTACAAGGGCCTAAGGGGTAGGGGGATATGTTGACAGTGTGTACAAGGCCCTAGGGGGGAGGGGGATATGTTGACAGTGTTTACAAGGTCCTAAGGGGGAGGGGATATGTTGACAGAGTGTACAAGGTCCTAAAGGGGAGGGGGATATGTTGACAGTGTGTACAAGGCCCTAAGGGGGAGGGGGATATGTTGACAATGTGTGCAAGGTCCTAAGGGGGAGGGGGAGGGGGATATGTTGACAATGTGTACAAGGTCCTAAGGAGGAGGGGGATATGTTGACAATGTGTACAAGGTCCTAAGGGGGGGGGGGATATGGTGACAGGGTGTACAAGGTCCTAAGGGGGAGGGGAATATGTTGACAGTGTGTACCAGGTCCTAAGGGGTAGGGGGATATGATGACAGTGTGTACAAGGTCCTACGGGGGAGGGGGATATGTTGACAGTGTGTACAAGGTCTTAAGGGGGAGGGGGATATGTTGACAGTGTGTACAAGGGCCTAAGGGGTAGGGGGATATGTTGACAGTGTGTACAAGGTCCTAGGGGGGAGGGGGATATGTTGACAGTGTGTACAAGGTTCTAAGGGGGAGGGGTATATGTTGACAGTGTGTACAAGGTCCTAAGGGGTAGGGGGGTTATGTTGACAGTGTGGACAAGGTCCTAAGGGGAAGGGGATATGTTGACAATGTGTACAAGGTCCTAAGGAGGAGGGGGATATGTTGACAATGTGTACAAGGTCCTAAGGGGGGGGGGGATATGCGGACAGTGGGTACAAGGTCCTAAGGGGGGGGGGGATATGTTGACAGTGTGTACAAGGTCCTAATGGGGAGGGGATATGTTGACAGTGTGTACAAGGTTCTAAGGGGGAGGGGGATATGTTGACAGTGTGTATAAGGTCCTAATGGGGAGGGAGATATGTTGACAGTGTGTACAAGGTCCTAATGGGGAGGGGGTATGTTGACAGTGTGTACAAGGTTCTAAGGGGGAGGGGAATATGCTGACAGTGTGTACAAGGTCCTAAGGGGGAGGGGAATATGTTGACAGTGTGTACAAGGCCCTAAGGGGGATGGGGATATGTTGACAGTGTTTACAAGGTCCTAAGGGGAAGGGGGATATGTTGACAGTGTGTACAATGTCCTAGGGGGGAGGGGGATATGTTGAAAGTGTGTACAAGGTGCTAAGGGGGAGGGGATATGTTGACAGTGTGTACAAGGTCCTAAAGGGGAGGGGGATATATTGACAGTGTGTACAAGGTCCTAAGGGGGAGGGTGATATGTTGACAGTGTGTACAAGGTCCTAAGGGGGAGGGGAATATGTTGACAGTGTGTACAAGGTCCTAAGGGGTAGGGGGATATGCTGACAGTGTGTACAAGGTCCTAAGGGGGAGGGGGATATGTTGACAATGTGTACAAGGTCCTAAGGGGGATAGGGATATGTTGACAGTGTGTACAAGGTCCTAAGGGGGAGGGGGAGGGGGATATGTTGACAATGTGTACAAGGTCCTAAGGGGGAGGGGGATATGTTTACAGTGTGTACAAGGTCCTAAAGGGGAGGGGGATATGTTGACAATGTGTACAAGGTCCTAAGGAGGAGGGGGATATGTTGACAATGTGTACAAGGTCCTAAGGGGGATAGGGATATGTTGACAGTGTGTACAAGTCCTAAAGGGGAGGGGGATATGTTGACAGTGTGTACAAGGCCCTAGGGGGGAGGGGGATATGTTGACAGTGTGTACAATGTCCTAAGGGGGAGGGGGATATGTTGAAAGTGGGTACAAGGTGCTAAGGGGGAGGGGGATATGTTGACAGTGTGTA